GTTAAACTAAATGAAAATGAGAAATGTTGCCTTGGCAACTAGCTGAAATAAGTTTAAGTTTTTTGGTTTATTTTATTTCAGTTAACTTTTTTTATGGTTTTAGTTTTAGTTAAATATAATAACCCTGGAACTAACGTGAACAATATTTTTTATTAAATGTATTAAATTTAAATAATTTAACTAACTCTAACTAAGAGTTAGGCTAACCGAGACTTGTCATTTGCACTTATATATTGTTTCTCTTTTGTTAGATTGCTTCTGTTGTCCTCATTTGTAAGTCGCTTTGGATAAAAGCATCTGCTAAATGACTAAATGTAAATGTAAATTAGTGTTTTATATAACCAAGTGTGAACATGCATGTTTTTCCCAAATCGTTCAACCCCTAAAGGATGGTCTGTGCTCAAAAAACAAATCTTCAAAGTAAAAAAGTCTTATTTTTTTTATTTTTACAATTATTTTTATTTTCTATGCAGATCAACATCCCATCGAAAGCATCCCAATCATTCAGGAATGATTCATTCTTTCCAAATATGGCTATTCAGGTCATTTGGTGAAAATTCCTCTATCTTTAACATGGAAATATACAGTATGTTGCATAAAAACTAAATATTGCAATCTTAGTTTTTTCCAATATCGTACAGCTCTAGTTTTCAGTGTTTGGTCTTAGGAATTATATGATTTATTGCATGTGCTGGATTTGATGTCTGCAGCAGCAGTGCTTTAGATGGATTTAGACCTTGTTAGAGAGGGTTTTAACCATGCTGACAGTAATAGTTACTGTGGGACTGTTAGCATGCTGTCAGCACACTAAAACCCCTCAGAGAAGACTCTCTAAATGTTTCCCTCGCTAAACAATAATGCTGAAAACACTAGTCGACTTCACTAATTGGCTAACCAGTAGTCAGTTAGTAGACCATCTCTAGTACTCTGTGTGTCAGCGGTCTCTTGTTGTAGCCGTCTCTCTCCTCTGGGCGAGTCGCTCAGTTTCATCTTACATGAACGTCCAGTTATTGGAAATGTGAAACTGTTCCTGGTTAAAAGTGCGGGATGAGTCACAGCGGGACACGCTGAACCGGCCGCGCATGAGTCTGCAGAAATGAGACGAGCCTTCGACACTGGTCTGATGACGCAGGGCTTTGAGTCGAGTGTAGGACGCTCCTAATGTGTGCTGTTCCCTACACGCTAATCTCTCTATCCACTCATCCTGTAATCTAGTGACTCACCAGAACACACTTACAGAAACTGTCATCATACTGATCGCAGTTTCATCTGTTTTTCACAGAGCCGTGGGAATTTACATCATGATGCAGCTTTGCTCAAAATTAGGCGAAAACTGCCAAGATTTGTAATTAAAAAAAAAAGTTTATTGTTTGAAAGTGAAGAAATTAAGATTGAAATATTAGTATTGTAATTTTAGTCTTACTATAAAATACTATTATTTTTAGTATTTTAGTGTATTTACTGTACAAAAGTATTAATGCAATATATTTATTATATTATTTGCAATATATTTATTATTTTGTTTGATATATTTGAATGCCAACAAACCACAAAAGTAAAAACCCCCCAATAATTTAATGTTTAAAAAGGAAGAAATTAAGACTTAAATATTAGAATTGTAATTTTACAGACTTAATTGTAGTATTTTTATTAAGTACTCCATTTTACAGTACAATAGTGTTTATTGCAATATATTATTTTGTTTGACATTTTCATTTAATAATAATCACACACACAAAAAAACTCTTATTTTTAATACAAATGCATTGCACAGTAAATATCCACGTTGTCATGATTATATATGTATAATGCAGTGAATTAAATATTTTAAATATGTTTGTATGCCAACAAATCGCCAAAATGAAAAAAAAGTTTTAATGTTTGAAAGCAACAAAAAACAAACAAACACTAGCTTTCTATTTTTTCTATTCTATCTAATTGTTTTTCTTTGTGTGTGTGTGTATATATATATATATATACATATATATAATATAAATACCTTGCTACATGTACTGCGTTAGGCTAACCGAGACTTGTCATTTGCACTTATATATTGTTTCTCTTTTGTTAGATTGCTTCTGTTGTCCTCATTTGTAAGTCGCTTTGGATAAAAGCATCTGCTAAATGACTAAATGTAAATGTAAATTAGTGTTTTATATAACCAAGTGTGAACATGCATGTTTTTCCCAAATCGTTCAACCCCTAAAGGATGGTCTGTGCTCAAAAAACAAATCTTCAAAGTAAAAAAGTCTTATTTTTTTTATTTTTACAATTATTTTTATTTTCTATGCAGATCAACATCCCATCGAAAGCATCCCAATCATTCAAGAATGATTCATTCTTTCCAAATATGGCTATTCAGGTCATTTGGTGAAAATTCCTCTATCTTTAACATGGAAATATACAGTATGTTGCATAAAAACTAAATATTGCAATCTTAGTTTTTTCCAATATCGTACAGCTCTAGTTTTCAGTGTTTGGTCTTAGGAATTATATGATTTATTGCATGTGCTGGATTTGATGTCTGCAGCAGCAGTGCTTTAGATGGATTTAGACCTTGTTAGAGAGGGTTTTAACCATGCTGACAGTAATAGTTACTGTGGGACTGTTAGCATGCTGTCAGCACACTAAAACCCCTCAGAGAAGACTCTCTAAATGTTTCCCTCGCTAAACAATAATGCTGAAAACACTAGTCGACTTCACTAATTGGCTAACCAGTAGTCAGTTAGTAGACCATCTCTAGTACTCTGTGTGTCAGCGGTCTCTTGTTGTAGCCGTCTCTCTCCTCTGGGCGAGTCGCTCAGTTTCATCTTACATGAACGTCCAGTTATTGGAAATGTGAAACTGTTCCTGGTTAAAAGTGCGGGATGAGTCACAGCGGGACACGCTGAACCGGCCGCGCATGAGTCTGCAGAAATGAGACGAGCCTTCGACACTGGTCTGATGACGCAGGGCTTTGAGTCGAGTGTAGGACGCTCCTAATGTGTGCTGTTCCCTACACGCTAATCTCTCTATCCACTCATCCTGTAATCTAGTGACTCACCAGAACACACTTACAGAAACTGTCATCATACTGATCGCAGTTTCATCTGTTTTTCACAGAGCCGTGGGAATTTACATCATGATGCAGCTTTGCTCAAAATTAGGCGAAAACTGCCAAGATTTGTAATTAAAAAAAAAAGTTTATTGTTTGAAAGTGAAGAAATTAAGATTGAAATATTAGTATTGTAATTTTAGTCTTACTATAAAATACTATTATTTTTAGTATTTTAGTGTATTTACTGTACAAAAGTATTAATGCAATATATTTATTATATTATTTGCAATATATTTATTATTTTGTTTGATATATTTGAATGCCAACAAACCACAAAAGTAAAAACCCCCCAATAATTTAATGTTTAAAAAGGAAGAAATTAAGACTTAAATATTAGAATTGTAATTTTACAGACTTAATTGTAGTATTTTTATTAAGTACTCCGTTTTACAGTACAATAGTGTTTATTGCAATATATTATTTTGTTTGACATTTTCATTTAATAATAATCACACACACAAAAAAACTCTTATTTTTAATACAAATGCATTGCACAGTAAATATCCACGTTGTCATGATTATATATGTATAATGCAGTGAATTAAATATTTTAAATATGTTTGTATGCCAACAAATCGCCAAAATGAAAAAAAAGTTTTAATGTTTGAAAGTGAAGAAATTGAGACTTAAATATTGGTATTGTAATTTTAGTCTTACTGTTAAACCCAATAATTTTTAGTATTTTCGTTAAATACTCTATTATTTATTTTACAGTACAGTAGTATTATTGCAATATATTTATTATTTTGCTCAATATATTTGTATGCCAACAAACAGCCAAAATAAAGAAATTAAGACATAAATATTAGTATTGTAATTGGCTTGATTGTCTGTTACAGTACAATAGTATTATTAGTTTGATATATTTTTATTTAATAATGATCATAATAAAAGTCATTATTCTAAAGTTGTATCACAGTAGTAATTTTAAATCATGATATAGTTATTTTGCTCAAAATTGCATTGCACAGTAAATGGTCATTTCGTCATAACTGTATTTCTATAATGCAGTGAATTAAATACTTTACAAATGGTGCTTCATCTCATTTGATCGTTATTTTAGTTTTTATTTACATATGTTTGTATGCTGACAAACCGCCAAAATAAAAATACAAAAAACTTGAAAATGTAGACATTGAGGCTTAAATATTAGTATTTTTAATTTTAGTCTTTAATATTAGTATTTTTTATTAAATACTTGATTTATTTTACTGTACAATGGTATTTATGACAATATATTTATTATTTAGTTTATCTTATAATTACACAAAAAAAAAATCATATTTTATAGTTGTATCGCAGTAGTAATTTTATATCAGTACAGTTAATTTGCTCGCAATTAGTCAATGCATTTTACAGTAAATAACCGTGTGGTCATGTATAATACAGTAACGCACTGCGAACTATTTGAAAATACTTGACAAATGAAAGGTGCTTCATCTTTTGATAATTTTCTGTTTTTATTAAAAACTTGATGATGGGCTCAAATTAAAATGAATGAATCAGTCTGACTTCAGAGTAAAAACAGATTCACATTATGAAACACTTGAGTTCAAAACAAAAGAAAACCAGGATATAGAATAGAATATTTGCTCTATTTTCACTTTTGTTGTACTCGTGTGTGTAAATAATATAAAGCAGTCCTGACACACATCGGCCCGTCTCAGTGACGTCTTCATCTCAGACTTTGGACTTGATGAATCTGTTATGATGTTGAAGTGTTTTCTCTTCATCTGCTCAAAGGCCGTTTGACGTCAGGCTGAAACCAGTTCAGATTCAGTTATGGGTTCATCCAGTAGATGGCGTGTTTGTCTCATCAGGAGAAATTATGAAGGGCTAAACTGGTTCTAACAGTTTAAGCAATAACACTGTTTTTTCCATTTCCATTACTAATGATCATAACAGTGGGGTTTTCTTTCTGATAGCATAAGTTTTTATTGGCCCTGCCAACATTTTGACCTGCATTACCACAAATTTACAAACCACAAAAAAGAGATTAAATGTGTAGAATAAAATAAATTTATTTTGCATTAATAGCTAGAAAAAAAAAACGTATGAAGAGGTTTCTTCTTAGTAAGACAAATTAACAGACTTAAATTCATTCAAATTTCAAATGTATTTTTGTGCATTTTTATTCAGTTATTTATATAATTATAACCTTTAAAAATTATTACAAATTAATAAACCTCAACAGTTCTATGTAAAGAATTATCGACTTTCAATCTTATTTTTGTACAACTGAGATGATGTTATAGTTTTTAACCTTTTGATGTAGTTTTTATTTGTATATTTTCATTTTAATTTTGTAACTAAAATGTTTTAGTAATTTCTAAATGTTCTAGTTTTAGTAAACTAGTAATTTTTTTTTTTTGCCATTTGTAGTAGTTTTTCTTTCATGTGTCTGTATAGTTTTTATTAATTTTATTTCTTTTTTAGTTTTCGTTATTTTAGTACATTTTGTACAATGACGCCTTTGTAACTAGCTGAATTAAAAGTTTTTTCTTTTTTTTTTATATTTTAATTTGATTCCATTTGATAATTTTTATTTTATTTCATGAGTCAAAATGGATTTAGTTTTAATTCTAGTTTAAGTTAAATATAATAACCCTGATAAATAAATATAGCTTCAAAGCATATTCGTGGCCCTGGAGCACAAAAGCAGTGTTAAGTCGCTGGGGTATATTTGTAGCAATAGCCAACAATACATTGTATGGGTCAAAATTATAGATTTTTTCTTTTATGCCAAAAATCATTAGGATATTAAGTGAAGATCATGTTCCATGAAGATATTTAGTAAATGTCCTACCGTAAATATATAAAAACTTTTGATTAGTAACATTCATTGCTAAGAACTTAATTTGGACAACTTTAAAGATGATTTTCTCAATATTTAGATTTTTTTGCACCCTCAGATTCCAGATTTTCAAATAGTTGTATCTCTGCCAAATATTGTGCTATCCTAACAAACCATACATCAATGAAAGCTTATATATTTAGCTTTCAGATGATGTATAAATCTCATATGTTGCATCATAAAAGCATTTGGAGGCATGCACAGCCTTTTATAAAGTGCAGAGAAGAAAATCACTGGCTTTTAATGAGCGAAAACAGCTATAAACGCTACAGCTCGTATATAACTCTCCAGCTCTGATTCGGTGAAGTAGTGAGCTGTTTGACTGGTTAGATGCAGCTCCTGAACTTCCTCTTCCTGTGTGTGTTGTAGGTGGTGGAGGACGGATACGAGTTCTTCGCCAAGCGGCAGCTGGTGACTCTGTTCTCAGCACCGAACTACTGCGGAGAGTTCGACAACGCCGGAGCCATGATGAGCGTCGACGAGACCCTCATGTGCTCCTTTCAGGTGCGTTATAGTCATGATTCTCCTCCAGTCCTGCTCGAGATCTAAATCAGCTTTGGAGTTTAACCTGGAGTGTGCAGCTAGTTGCCATATACTCCATCCAATTTTACTTTTTTTTATTTTTTTTTATGTTATGCTCCATCAAGTTTTTATGAAATTATTTGAGACATCATGGAATATTATGTTTCTAGGGATTTGTTTAATTATTGTTATAAATAATTGTTAAATTATTTATAATTATTTTATTATTTAATAATTATTTTGTATTTAAATAGTCATTTTTAGTGAGTGTGTGTGTGTGTGTATGTATATATATATATATATATGACAAAAAGATGATTCAAACTCATGAGAAACACAAGGAAATGACCTGTAAAATCAGTGTTATTTAGATCGATTCAGGTGTTTAATCTGACGTGTTGATTTCTGCTCCTGCAGATTTTGAAGCCAGCAGAGAAGAAGAAACCAAACTCCAGTCGTCCAGTGACTCCGCCCAGGAACACGGCCCCCAAACAGGCCAAGAAATGATTCCCGCGGGGCCCGGCTGGACTTGTACTTGATTTCAGAGACAAACCGCTTTTTATTCCCACTTCAGGACGACGTATCAGTTTGACACAAGCTCCGCCCACCGTAACCACGGCAACAGCGCATTTAAACGCAAGGCGGAACACAGGCGTCTGGATTTTTAAATTGACACGTTTAAGATGATTTGTGCTCCCGATCTCTCGTTCAAACCACTGTGAACAAACGAGTCTGTTTTTATGCACCTGATGCTTTTTTGTATTTTCGTCTCGTGAATGTGCCATGAGGTTTGACATTCAGTCTGCTTTTATCATTTAGATTTTTTACTTTTTTTGTTTTCATGATCGCAAACGAACGGATGTTGTGCGAGTGTGTGAACTGAAACATCAAGTTTCTGTGTTTTTGACGCGATGCCTTGTTTTCTTCTTCCATTGCGTATCACGTGACGTTTTGGCATGTTGACTTCTTGATCTCTCAGACGGACGTTTCTGTTGCATTGACACAAGCTCCGCCCACCGTAGCCACGGCAATAGCGCATTTAAACGCAAGGCGGAACACAGGCGTCTGGATTTTTAAATTGACACGTTTAAGATGATTTGTGCTCCCGATCTCTCGTTCAAACCACTGTGAACAAACGAGTGTTTTTATGCACCTGATGCTTTTTTGTATTTTCGTCTCGTGAATGTGCCATGAGGTTTGACATTCAGTCCGCTTTTATCATTTTGACTTTTTTTTTATTTTGATGATTGCAAACGAGCGGATGTTGTGCGAGTGTGTGAACTGAAACATCAAGTTTCTTTGTTTTGACGCGATGCCTTGTTTTCTTCTTCCATTGCGTATCACGTGACGTTTTGGCATGTTGACTTCTTGATCTCTCAGACGGACGTTTCTGTTGCATGCGTTAGTGTTAGAGGAATAGGACACAAGGCCTCGGCTTTCTCTCAGGGCATGCCACCTTCAGCATGTCTTCAGAATAATGTAGCTCCTCATCAGGTAAATCACGTCAGGAAAACCTTTTTTCTTGCAAATTTCTACAGTATTTCATATATAAATTCTCTGTTTAACCCAAACTCTCACTGTAAATATACAGGAAATGTTTTGTTCAGTCTTGGCAATAATTGAGTTTTCCACACTATAAATAATTGTTATACTTGCAGAATAAATCGAAGGGAGATGGAAACACCATTGCAGCGTTTGTTTGTGTTCATTTCAGAAATGCATTGAATTTAAAGGTAATATGAAATCAAAACTGATTTATTTTAATGTTCCTGAAGCAAGGTTCAGTAAACATAAAAATAAAATAAAATTCTTAACTTTGATTTTATTCTATGACTTAAGGAATATATTGTGTTCCCAATAATATTCAATATTTTGTTCTTTAGTGGTTATTTTTACATTTTGTGTTTAGATAAATATTTAAGAACTTAAATGTTCTTAAGAAAATATTTGAGAACTTAAAATAATTTAAAGAAAATATTGGAGAACTGATTTAAAAAAAAAAAGAGATCTTTAGAAATTGAGAACTTAAAATGTTCTTGAGAAAATATTTAAGAATGTTAAAATATTTGAAAACTTAAAAGATGTACTTAAGATTATTTACGAGAAAAAAATGTTAAAATATCTGAGATCTGAGAACTTAATGTTCTTAGAAAAACATTTAAGAATGTTAAGAAAATATTTGAGAACTTAAAATAATTTTAAAATATTGGAGAACTGATTTAAAAGAGAGAGAGAGATCTTTAGAAATTGAGGTCTTAAAATGTTCTTAAGAAAATATTTAAAAATGTATAAACAAATACATTCTGTATTAAAATAAAACAAAATGATTGCAAAAAATTTGATTCATAAACAGATCCGTGCAAATCAAGTACAATTCACAAACCCTTTATAGTTTCTCCAGCCTATCGTTTAAAATGGATATGCATATACTTTTCATGAAAGGAAGGTCTTGATGTCTATAAACCATCTCATAATCAATCCTTCTGTTTATTCCTTTATTAACTGATGCACAAAGAAAGACCATAAAAATGTAAATCGAAAATGACATTTGATCGTCCAGCATTAAGTCACAGATTCAGATCAGTAAAACGGCATTATGAATAGTGGATTATTGAATTAAACGCTCGTTCACATTAAAAAGTAGTTCACATAATGAAAATGTGCTGTAAATGTGCTCACCCTCAGATCATCCGAGATTAGGATGAGTTCGTTTCTTCATCAGATTTGGAGAAATGCAGCATTGCATCAGTGTCTCACCAATGGATGTGAATGGGTGCCGTCAGAATGAGAGTCTGATAAAAACATCACAATAATCCACAAGTAATCCACAGCACTCCAGTCCATCAGTTAACATCTGGAGAAGACAAAAGCTGAAACAAATCCAGCATTAAGATGTTTTTAACTCAAATACCATAGAGTCCATAATAACGCTTCCTCCTGAATCAGGAGAGAAATCAAGCAGCGTTCACAAGCCAAAACAGCTCTAAACAAACATTTTTTTTTCTTCTAAACACACAGCTTTTGTCTTCTCCAGATGTTAACTGATGGACTGGAGTGCTGTGGATTATTGTGATGTGTTTATCAGCTGTTTGGACTCTCATTCTGACGGCACCCATTCACATCCATTGGTGAGCAAGTGATGCAATGCTACATTTCTCCAAATCTGATGAAGAAACAAACTCATCTACACCTGGGATGATCTGAGAGTGAGTCAATTTTCAGCTATTTTTAATTTTTTAGGAGAATTATTCCTTTAACAGCGCCTCTTTCTGTGGGCCGAAATGAGAGGAAAGCACTTCTATTGCATTGAATATTTCACCATGAATCAGAATCAAATGTCAAGCACTTAAAATTCAGTCTCATAACGGATAAATATGAATGAAAGCCGTTTACGCATAATCACCATCTTCACTAGATCCGTTTGGGATGAAGGGCTTTGGAGCTCGAGCGTGTGAACAGTCGCAGGATCATCTGTATAAAACTGCAGTGAGTTTGAGGTCTCGCAGGAGAGGGAAAAAATAAATACTGGTCCGTAAGAAGGCAATGTGGTGATGTCCACCAGACTGTCATCCAGGAGGAAGCTGAACGTGATGAAGATCAAACCTCTCGTAAGAGACCGCCTGCTTTTTTGCAGAAACTGAAATGTGAGATCTGGCGATACTGTGATACATTCCTCCGGTAAAAACTACACGAGAACAAACACATGAAGCAAGATTTCACACAAAATGAAGATTCTGTCATCATATTTCCAGCATCAAAAATTAAATAAAAATTTAGCTTATAAGAAAATATTTGAAAAATATTTTTTTTCTACTTGGAAAATTCTTATGTATTTGTTTTTTTTAAAGAATTTATCTAAACTTGTTTGCTGAATATTTAGTTTTTAAATCTCTTAGAACTCACTTTTTCATAGTTATGAAGTGTTTGTTTTTATATTATTCTTAAATTGTTTTAATTTTTTTTTGTATTTCAATGTATTTTTTTTTTAAGCGCTTTGAGATGCAACTTTTAAAGGCGCTATAAAATAAAGTTTATTATTATTGTTGTTTGCAGCATACATCAGATCATGTTATTCTAAGGAAAAAAATTATTGTCAATTCTCTCGTGAATAAATTAAATGTTTTCATTGATTAATGTAATTAATGCAACGATTAGTGCAAAAAATCCTCAATATAATAATAATTAAAAAAAAAACTGCTCAGGATCAGCAAATGTGTATATTATGACACTGAAATTTTACAAAAATAATTAGATTTTGATGATAAATTGGTAACACTACATTCAGGTTTCATTTGTACAGTAGTTAAACTAACATTAAAAATACTTCTAATGCATCCATTAATCTCAGCTAAAATTAATTTAAATATTTATTAATATTATAAAAATCAAAAGTTGCATCAGTTGCATCATTAATGCACTAATATGAAAAATGAACCACTGTATTTTTATTAACTAACATTAGCAAAGATTAATGTTCATTTTTCGTTCTTTATAGTTAATGAATGTTAGACTTTATTGTAAAGTGTTACCAATAAAATAATATACAGATCTTATAACGATTGTTCAACATCTCATCAGCCAATTACATTTAGTCTAAGTGGTGTTTTAACAAATTAATAACTCATATTAATAACTTACAGACTATTAAGACAGCGAGTAAATGATGACAGAATTTTCATCTGAGGCTTAACTAGTCCTGTGAGGCGGTTCAACTGAGGATGAGTTTAAACCTCGTTCTCATTTATTGCTCAAAACTCTATTTCTCTTCACTGTACGATTATGAAATATAATTAGTGAACAAAACCAGCTGCCAGTGAGTCTGTGCTGCTGTACTTTCTCATGTCATTTCATTCTGAGATTATGAATAATTGTGAGGATTTATGGTGTGTTCATGTCATCACGATTACCGGGTTTAACTAGTAAACGCATAAAAACGGTGAACCTCTTAATTAAGAATTGGAAAAACGAATTAAACGTCGTTTCGTGTTTTTATGATGGTTTTTGCAGCTTGAAAGAGCAGCGTGAACATCCTGAGAAACGTCTTCTTTTGTGTTCCCTCAGAAGAACACAGTCCTGCGGTTTGTGAGCGATGACAGGACGAGCGTTTTTGCCGTCCAGAGGGTTTAGTGAGGAGGATGCTGCAGTGAAATACTGTAAGAGAGTGTGAGTCTGGGCTCAGAGCGAGGTCTCGCTGGTGTGCGGTCGAGACGTCTCCTCCTCCAGAAGAGCGATGCGCTGTTTCAGCATCCGCACCTGCGTCTCGTGCCGCTCCACCATCGCCATCATCTGAGACTCCAGCTTCTTCAGCTTGTTCTGGTGCTTCTTCTTGGCTTTCTCGTACGCCGCCACCAGATTACTGCGCCGCACACAAACACAACACAACACAGCTTTAACAGCCTGCTTGACTGAGACGCTCCACTAAATCCACAACTGAACTGAATCATCCTGAGGCTCCACTCCTTTACTACTATTCATCTACTCTATAGTTTTAGTTCAGTGAAATAAAAACTTTCACAGAGAAAAACGAGAAATACGAACATCAAAAACATTGCCTTGGCAACTCACCGAAATAAGTTTAAGTATTAAAATTACTAAAACTAAAACTCAAATATACATAGATTATAGCTAAAAAGAAATATAAACAAATTTTATAAAGGTAAAGTTACTAAATTACTAAAACCGAGATAAAATAAATTAAAGCTAAATAGAAATATAAAAAATATTAAACTAAAAACTTAAATAAGCCGATGTACTAAAATTGCTAAAACGAAAACTGAAATAAAAATAAAGCTAAAATAAAATAAAAAATATAAATTAAACAAATATATAAAGGAAAAATAATTTTTAAAAAAATGACAAAAGCACATAAAATAAAATATACAAAACTTTTAACAAAAATCTGAAATTGTCTTGCAACTAACTAAAATAAGTTGAAATGCTAAAAAGAATTCAAGCTCAATAAAAATATAAAAAAGTGAATAAAAATTACAAAAGCGCATGAAAAATATAAATTATAAGCTAAAAGTATTACAAATCATTTTTGGTAATTTAAATAAAGCTAAAATAAAATAAAAAATAATTAGATGAATTACCCAATTTTAAAAATGAGAAATGTTGCCTTGCCAACTAACTGAAATAAGTTGAAATACTAAAATTACTAAAACTGAAATAAAAATGTATTAAAGCTAAATAGAAATATTAGAAAAAAAACAAAAAAAGAAAATCTGAAATTGTCTTGCAACTAACTAAAATAAGTTGAAATGCTAAAAAGAATTCAAGCTCAATAAAAATATAAAAAAGTGAATAAAAATTACAAAAGCGCATGAAAAACAAAAAAAGCAAAAGAAATAAAATTTTTTTTAATTCAAATTAAAACGGAAAATATAAAAATAAAAGCTTATTCAAAACATTAATAGATGCTATAACAATATATAAATAACACTAAAATAGCTATAGTAAACGCAAACATATATTCAGCAGTGATTTCCCGTGTGCAGTAAGAGTGCAGCATTAATGGCGTTCAGAGAGAGTTTGAGCAGCTGCTGTATTAAACACACAGTGATGCTGCGATGTGACCAGCAGGAGGCGACGCGCAGCTGAACACGGAAGATGATGCACAAACATGCACAGCTCCACTGGATCCTGTCATGATGGTACATCTTCAAATCAAGGCACACATTTGAGCTGTGTGTGTGTGTGTGAGTGAGTGTGAGTGTGTGAGTGTGTGCGTGCGTGTGTGAGTGTGTGAATGTGTGTGTGCCTGCGTGTATGTATGAGCTGTGTGAGTGTGTGTGTGTGAGAGCGTGTGTGTGCGTGTGTGTGAGTGTGTGTGTGTATATGAGTGTGCGTGCGTGTGTGTGAGTGAGTGTGTGTGGTACCTGTTGGCTCGTTTAAGGTCGTTAACGAACTCCGCCGACTGCTGATGTCGGACTTCACTGCTCTTAGTGAGTCTTTCTAATGCCGCGACCAACTCCTGAACACGACCCTTCAGCTTCTTTTCTCTGGAACACACACACACACACACGCAAATCTGATTCTCAGGATCTCTTAAGGAGCGTTTGTTTCCAGAAGCTTTACTTTCACTGTTCCTCAGCGGAGGAATGATCTTCACAAGCCTCCAGAACATCTCACATCTTCTGAGGAGCCTTTATTTCTTCATCTCTCAATCAGCACTGGATTGCATTGCATTATATGTTTGGATCATTTCAATCTAATTTTACTGAGACATATTACTGGAGATATAGAGTGACGACTGATATTTATGTCAGCATCTGCTGTACCGTTATAAAGATCTCGTTGATTTACATTACAGGCATCAGAATTTCATCATATAAATATCAGCATCTGCACCAGATTCATATTTTTGCTCCGTTTGAGTCTGAATAAAACTGAGCTGTTTTTCCTCCATATTCTCACTATAGCAGACTATATGAGCCATAAAAGCCTGATGCATCAAATATGATACTCAACAAAAAACATAT